TGTTCTAAGGACTCCATAGTAAAATGGAGTAACTGAGCGCATGAACAAACCATTATAGAGCGTGGTAGGAGTATGAGGATGTATGCAGGCTTGTCGAAGTAGTTCTGGGTATAAGCAATAAACACTATTATTTATCTGATCAATCATGGCCAATCAATATCATTGAAGGAAGACTTACTCTAAGAAGTGTAGAGGGATAAAGAGGTGAATTTATCTCATCTGAAATTTTTTGGGTGTTCTGCATATGTTCACGTTGATGCGAGATTGAGAAGTAAAATTGACTTAAAATTTTACAGGTGCAGTTTCATTATGTATGACTCAGCATGAACATGGGTACAAATTTTAGGACTATCAAAATGAAAAGTTCAATAGGAGCAGAGATGTTATTTCAATGAAATGAAAATGTACAAATGACATGAGCTGAACTCAGGATTGCCAATTATTTACTTCTCAAGTGTGCAAAAATATTGAGATAGAAGATACTGGTGATCAGAATGATAAATAAAGAAAAAGTACTCAATCAGATGAAGCAAAAGAAGTTCCTCAGTCACCTACTACTAAAGTAATGAGGTCCAACAAAATCTTGAGATCAACACGGAGGTATTCCTTTTTTTGTATTGTTTATTGCTAAGTAATAGTGATGAACCAAAGTGCTATAAAGAGCTCTTTTAAGTTGAAGATTCTAATAAGTAGGAGCTTACGATGGATGAGGAGATGTAGTCCTTAAGGTCAAATCATACGAGATTTTACAATATTACTAATCGACAAAAAGACACTGTATAATATAGGTTAAAAGAGTAGTCAAATGGTAGCAGACACTGTAATAGAATACTTGTGAAGGGGTTTCAACAAAAGCAATGAGTGCATTATACAAAGATCTTTTCCCTTACAGTGAAGATGGTGACTGTCAATTTTGTTGAGCTTAGGAGTAGAGGAAGATTTACATCTAGAGTAGATGGTTGTAAATATAAGCTTCTTACATGAAGATCTTGAAGTTAAACTATATTTGGTGCAACGACAAGGTTATGAGGTTCCAGCGAAAGAAGACTTAGTCTGCAGGTTGAATAAAGACCTCTATGGCTTGAAGCGAACCCCAAGTCAACAATATAAGAGGTTTGAAAGGTTCATGTAAGACAGTGAGTATATGAAAGATTAGACAAAGCACATTGCTTCATAAAAAAATTGATAATTTCTATATCTTGCTCCTTTTGTATGTGAATGACATGACTAATTGCAAATGTAGATATGAAGAATATTAGAAACTTGAAGGGGCAATTATTAAGTGAATTTGAGATGAAAGATTTATGTCAAACCAAGAAGACCTTCAGGATGAAAATCAACAGGGATAGGTGTGCAAGTACATTAACGTTTTCTCAGACAGAGTATATTGAGACAATCCTTCACAGGTTCAACATGAGTGAGACAAAATTAATTTGTACTCATTTAAGTAGTCACTTCAAGCTATCTAAAAAATTATTGCCTTAGTATGAAGCAGAGCAAACACAAATGAGAAGAACTCTGTATGCTTTAGCAGTTTGAAATCTGATATATGTTATGATATGTACGTGAACATATATTGCATATGTAGTTGGAGTGGTCAGCAGATACATAAATAATCTAGGAAAAACATTATTAGGAGGCAATAAAGTGGATTATGAGGAATTTGAGTGGAATAGTCAACCTGAAACTTTGTTTTGGAAGTATAGGAATCAGTTTATAGGGATTTATCAATTCGGATATGACATGAGATTTGGATGGTAGAAGAAATAGAACACGACATATCTTCAATTTGGGGAACACAATGATGAACTGTGTTTCCAAGTCGCAAAGGAATGTTGGGGAACACAACGATGAACTGTGGTTCCAAGTCGCAAAGGAATGTTGCATTTTTAACTACAGAAGTTGTATACGTTGTTGTAATTGAGGCTAGCAAAAAGTTGATTTTGCTACTGGGCTTTATGCAGAACTGGGCAAGGGGCAAAGAATGTAAATGTTTATAGTGACAATATGAGTGCTATTGATTTTGCTAAGAATGTTGTTTTTCATGCTAGGACAAAACATATTCAACTGAGCTATCACTTTATTCGCTCTCTCCTAGAAGTTGAGCAATTATTTAGAGAAGATACACATCTTAGAATCCTATAGATATGCTGATTATGGTGGCCATTAACAAGAGATTGGAGCTTAAGCTTGTATTCAGTTGGATTCTAGGAAGGTTGAGGCCGGAGGTGAGCCACTTTGCGGTACAAGACTATGAAGATGATACAAATGTTGGTACAGATTTGGAGGAGATTGTTCGGAACACTCAACGCCGCGAAGGTGGCTCTTAGGCGTTGGATATTGGGCTCCAGACACAAGAAATTTTTGACCATTTTCCGAGTGCTGAAAAAGTCAGCGCTACATAGCACCTAAGCACTATAGTGCAACGCCTAGGTCCCGCAATGAACATAGTATTTATGGCGTCCCAACACCAGCCATGGGCGCCTAGGCACCAATATGTATAGGTTGACAATTCCAACAGTTAGATGTGTTTCGCCGAGGGAAACTATATAAATGATGAAAATGAAGTTTGAGGGATTTTTCCTTCATTTATTCTGCAACCTCGAGCATGGAGAACTCGTGGAGAAGGCCAAACAACTCCAAGGAGTCTTGGAGAGAAGGAAGGAGAGAAAGTTTGAGAGGATTGATAAAGTGTAATGCTTACTGTTTGTGTCTTCATCCTATTGCTTTGTATTGGAAAAGAGATAAGTACATTCAAGGACTCTTTTTCTTTAGATTTCTTGTTAAAACTTGGTCAATGCTGAATTCACTTAATTCAAAGTTTGATTGGATGTGTTTTGTCATAAGTAGTGAGCAGTTCTTTTTGTTTATCCCTTGAAATGGAAATTAGGGAGGACAAAATTAGGATTTCTTTGATGATTTGTTCTTAAATTCTCTAAATAGTGCTGTGTTAACCCTTGATCTTAATTTTCATTCTACCCGACCAGTAGGATAGTTAAAATCTATCGTGAATTTCGAGATCCGGAAGGATAAAGTGTAGAACAAAAATGGTTAACCACATAAACTCAAGGGAATAGGAATATATCCTTTGAGTTTATGCAATCAATAGGGAGATGATATTGTTTGGGTTGAACATGGGATTTATGGAACTAAACCTATGACAAACTATCTTTCTTAAATTTTCGGGAGGTTATAAGAGAGACAATGCTCCTGATTGACACTAGGCCTTAATTACTTTCTCAATTCTATTTGTCATTGGATCGATTCGAGGGGGAAATGTTTCTAAAACTTAACCTTATTTGAATTTCTTCTTACTTGCTAGAATAAACTTACTTTTTAAAAATTGAGACTCATTTAAACTTGCTAATTAAGCTTTTCAGGCTAGGACCAACATTAGTAAGGTAGAATTTCTAAAAAATTGAGCTTATCACGTTCCTTGTGGGATCGACAGCTACAACAGAAATCTAAACCGATACTACTGATACGCCACGTATACTTGCGTGAGTCGCTAGTGCTTCTCAACACTTTGGAGTGTGTCAATGCTCATCTATTTCTGATCTGATTTGATTGACCTTTTCTGCTAGTTTTTCCTCCAAAGCGTCCACCTTTTTGGCTTTCATTCTTGGACTTTTTCGAAACTCTTTTACGCTGAAATTAAGAGATTCAAATATTTTGAGAGCAATTTTTTGTGCGTGGAACTTTGGATGCCATGATGTCATAATTCCTATTCGCGATTCGACAGAACTATTGGAAGCCAGGCGAAACAATAGAAGCTGCAATCCAAATTCATGTACGTCGCAGATCCCAATCACAAGATTCCATCACAAGAGGTGCAAAACATCTTTATGCCGCATTTCTGATTGACAGTTTCGATTTAGAGCGCTGTGGAACTCCTAAATACCTCAACTCTTCGACTTTCCTGTGGTCTGTGTCCCTTTATCTCATCGTGGCCTCCCCTGTGACTGTGGCGTCAGAGTTTGGTTTTGAAGGAGTGCAAACAGGCAAAGATCCTGTCATGGCCTTCTTGGCTACTTCTGTTTGCCGTTTTGAGAGATTTTGTCATCGCAATTCCATATATTCGCGACCCTTGATGGCACGACCCCTTCGTTCCTTCTTAGCTAGCTCCAATCATGACTGCTCCCCGATCCAACGTCGCCTCCCCAATCCTTCTCGCCATCCTTTGTCGTCGATGGCTCTAATCAGAACTGTATCGCGATGGCGCAGTCAGCGATCTGGTCGGCTTCTTATGGTTTGATTTTTGGAAATCTTGCTCTAATAACAATTTGATAGGAACAAATACATATTATCACACAAAATATAGGGCAAAACAAATTTTTTTCTATGATAATCGAAACAACTCAACTCAGATAAATACATATAACCACTTACAATTCGCGGCAACAAAAAAACAAGCATCCCCAATCTTAAACATAATAAGCTTATTTATATTAAAATATATTAAATAATAAATGACTAAACTGTCCCCTTAGCCTTGTTTCTAAAATAATTCCTTAAATTAATTGGCTGGCTCAGCATGTTGGAGAGCATTGTTGATGCCGATCTAACAGGACACTTCATTTTTTTTCCCCTTTTGCAGCAATCAGTTTTTTGACCTTATGTGATAAAAAAGGAAAAATAGGAAAGGAAACAACATATGTATGCTATAATATTATTAACAGATCCAATAAACCTGAGTTTCGAGAAGGATTATGAAAATTCTTTAAGGTGTCTGCACTAAGTCAGTTACTTCATCAGGCTGGTGTTCTAGTTTTAGTAGCTTTGCATTATTTTAGAGAACGTGCTGAATGACATTGTCATAACCTTCTGATATCTTCATTGAACTAGAGACTTGTGCATACCGGTAAAAATGTTAATTTATTCATTGGACTTCTTTAACTTATTTATTTTTCAACGCAATAAAATTGATAGAGAAGTTCCACGTTGGATTTATGCCTACAATCTAGCATGATTATATTCACTCTATTTTTTATTTGATGCAGAGAACGTTATGATGATTTGATCAGGCAATGCCAAACCATGCATTCTAGCATTGGTACTGGAACCCTTGCTTATGCTGTTGGATCCAAAGTGATGGATATGAGGACTTCATCCAAATGTAATGACTCAAAGGAAGCAATGAGAACATTTGGTCGAAATTCTCAGGATACTACTGATACAATAGAGACATACTCTGCTTTGAATAATGGCTATATGGATTCATCATATCAACATCAAAAACAGAAATCTAGCAATTCAGTTGAGTTATACAGTGCAAGGATGAGCTCTAGTAGTGCTGCCTGTGATTCTGCCAGCACTGCACCACCTTCTTTGGAGTATAACTTGTCAGAAAAGCCTGAAACTGAGTTGCATGAACTCCAATGTGCATCTGAGAGCTTTTATGATTTTCCGTCTCTTCCTGTTACAAATTTATTCGAAAAGAATGGCACAGATGACAATAGAAGCAAGTTTTATGATGACAATTTATCTGTCTCTAAACGCACAACCAGATTTCGGGATGAGCGCATGCATAGTTTTCAAATTAATAATAATGTGGATCTTATAATTGAATCAAATGATCCTACTAATGGTCTATCCAGAGCAAACAGCCATGGAACTGAGTTTTTTAGTACATATATTAAAGAAAAAGACAGAACACAAAATGAGAATGGATACAAAAATGAGACAGTTAGCAAACTATGGACTTTAGATACTCCGGGGGAAGCTATGGAGGCAGCAACCACATCAATTGGATCAGTTTTTCATGATGAAAAAGTTTCTGAGTGGTTGTGGATTCTCCATCGCATTGGTAATAAGCTACTTCCTATTTGTCAATTTGATAACTATAATGTTAGCATGAAATTGTTCTTGTTTCCTCAATGTTTATACAATCTGAAAGTCTATATTTTTCAGTTGTTGATGTAGTTAGAACAGATAGTCAACTTGAATTCTATGGAGATTCAAAAAATATGGCTAGAATGTCAGATATTCTTGCTGTTTATGCCTGGATTGATCCGGCCACAGGATACTGTCAAGGTATTCCCCTTATGTCCAATTGCCTCTTCTTTTCTATGTTTGTTCTATGAAGTTTTTGACATAAATTGTTTTGGGATAAACTGATATTTTTCTTTGTGATTTTTAATGTGGTTTTACCATTAGGTATGAGCGATTTGCTCTCTCCTTTTGTTGTGCTGTACGAGGATAATGCCGATGCCTTGTGGTGCTTTGAGATGCTTCTAAGGAGAATGGTAACCTTGTTTCCATGCAAAAATTTTATACTATCTTCATTTGCATTAATTTTTTTTATTTGATTTTATGCACAGCGTGAAAATTTCCAGATTGAAGGACCCACTGGAGTAATGAAACAATTGCAAGCTTTATGGAAAATATTGGGAAGGACAGATGCTGTATTGTTTGAACATCTGACTGTGATAGGAGCTGAAAGCCTTCATTTTGCTTTTCGGATGTTACTGGTGCATTTTCGTCGGGAGCTGTCCTTCACTGAAGCTCTATTCATGTGGGAGGTCTGTGGCTTGAAGAAATTGCTTTTGAATAATAATAGTTGGACACTTTCTTACTTGAATTGAAACTCTATGCAAATTTAATTAGCTTTCCTTCAGCGAAGCTTTATTCATTTGGGAAATTTGTGGCTTGACTAAAATTGCTTTCACTTAGTATTAATAGGACACTGATTTACTGGACTCTAAACCCCTATGCAAATTAAGCACGTCGAAAAGTGACCTTGACTTCTCGTTTGAAATATTAATGTAAAGTGAAATAAAACTGAAAGATTCTTTACACTTTATCATAAGCGTTAGCCTTCAACATTTCGGGTTCAGCTCCACTTTTTCCATTGAGATATTATTACTTTTGGGCATGTATTAGTACAACTTTTTATGCACGCTACTATAGTTTTACTATTTTCCTTTTCATAGTCTTCCATATTAGTTCCGTTTACATTTGTTCTAGGTCATTTTCTGCCTTTTAGTATGCTTGCTCAATACACCTAAATAGATAATTTTACTATTTTTATCTTTAATACTTTAAGCGATCTGTTGATCCGTTCTAGTAAGAGATTAATTAGATTGCCTATGAGTACAAGTTGGTATTAAATCACAACAAATTTGAAGAGGCTGTGTTCTTTAAATTTAAACACTCTGATTCTCCAAAAAATGTCTACAATGGCAATTCCAAATTACATTTGTTAAAGATTTAAGAGGATGCCATCAGGAGTTTGTAGGCATGATGGGATCATCAATCAAACCTCAATTGAGGGAGACTAACGCCCTCGGGGATTAACCATCATATCTAATATGAGATCCTAGCTGGATAAGGATGAATTTTATTATTTTTTATTTTTTTAGATTTATTGTATTTGAATTTAAATTTAGACGGTTAATTCATACATGAATTAATGTTTAGTTTGAATTTTTCTTGGTTGTTATTTGTATATTTGTAGGCCTTGTCTTTGTATGAGTACTATTCTATCTCTGTGAATTTGCATGTAAATAGGTTTAATTTACTTCAAAAATTCAATTGAAAATCTTAACTCATAAAAATCATTCCTTCTTTCTCTGTAATAACATGGAAATCATAATTCTCCTAAAAATCATTCCCTGCTTCTCTCCCTCCTGGTTTTTTACTTATGTGGCTCAAAGCTGCGGAGGCTTTTCTCAGGTATGTGGAGCTGATACCGGAGTTAACCCAAGCTGCAACTTGAAAAAAAATAATATTATTAAAAACAAATAGGTGATTACAACCAACACACTTGAAAGGGAAAATACAACAACAGACACAAACAAACACAACTAGAGTGTACTTTTTTCGGTGGACAGGAAGACGGGATGATTCTATCGCCAAGATAATCAGACGTGGAGAGTATCCCTAGTGGACGGCTTAGCTCGTGACATACATCGTTCGCATTTTAAAAATAATATTATTATATTATTAATTATTGTTTTAATAGTCTTTTGTTTTAATAGTCTTTTTCTTTTCTTAATTTTAGTAATCATGGTACTTTTTGTTAAGTGAGGTGTATATCTTATTTTTTGTATTCTTCTGCACTGAATTTTTTGTTTCTAAAATATAAAATAGATTAGCGTCATAGTTGTGGTGCAAACAACATTATTATACAGAGGCAGAATGATCGTTTGTCTAAAAACAACTACAACATAAGTGTTTCAAACTGCAAAAAATAAATAAACAACCAGCTTATCCGCAATAACTTTGTCAGCTTATCCGCAGCAACTTCCTGTGATAGCTGCTGCACAACAGCTTATTATTAAGCTGTAACTGCCCTAAACAGTTCTGAAATCTCACCCATTTTAGTTTTGTCCTACTTTGGGAGCTACCAGAAGTTAAGTATGAGATAATTTTTAAAAGCAATAATTATGGCTTTTAAATGCAAAAAAAAAATGAACTGTACAGGTGCTAAGCATCCAAATTATGTTCATTGAAAATAATTAAATTCTTCGTTTAATAATAATTTAATTAATCAGATTATTTAGTCCTATGAGGCGCTCGAGTTAAATTCGAGTTGAACACGAGCTTTCAAACAAATGAGTTTGAATTGAGCTAAATAAAAATAGGTTATTTATGAGTCACTTTGAACATGAGCCGAACAATAACAAATAAAAAACTGAACAAGCCGAACACAAATAAGCCTTCGGCTCGTGTACACCCTTCCATAGCACACAATTCTTATGGTTTTTTACATATCTCACACCTTTCATATTCTCACACACAGCACTCAAATGTTTAATCTCACATAATAAATTACACTATTGCCACCTTTTAAATACGAAATACACATTTTTATCTTAGATTTAAAAAACCAAGGTGCTTTGCATATAAAAATTTGGAAGTTAAGGTAATAGATATGTAAATACATAAGAATTGTGTGCTACTTATGTAAATTTTCCTATTAATAAATTTGCACTGTATTTTCTATCATATTAAACATTTAAGTATTGTATTGAAGCAACAAAAAGGATGACATCATAACATATAATGATTTTTCGACAATTATACAAATGCTCACCAGTGGCTGAACAAGATCGACTCATAAGCTGTTAACTTGTATATTTTTGAGGCATAGTATACATCCTGATGAAATTTACACTTGAATTTCCATAATTTTGATTTATGTTCACATATCAACATAAAAAATAAAAGAAAAAGAAGGAAAGCTTAAGTTTAGAAAGAGCATAATGGGGTTGCGAGAGATTATGGTGTTGCAGAAAGGAAGAGTTTTTCGAGCCATGAAAGGAGAGGAGAGAAGCTCACGGATGGTATCAATGGTCACACATGGAAGGAGAGGGGAGAAGCTCATGGATGATATCAATGGTCATATGTGGGAGAATGTTATAGCGATCATGGGGCATGCAGTCAGAACTTAGGCATGGGAGGAGAAGCCGTTGGTTGTTTGACAAGCTCGTGAGTTTTCATTGATGGTCATAGGGAGTTCAAAGAGGATGAATGAATGGGGGAGTTAGGGATTTAGGACATGAAAACATGGTAATGAAAAGAATAAGGGGACATAGGGATTTAAGAAGAAAAAAACAAGGGAATTAGAAGAAGTGGCACTCAATTTAGTTTTATCTTTAATTTTTTTTTTTGAATATTTTTGCAACAACAGAACTGATTACAAATGTCGTTGCAAATACCAGTCACATAATTATAGTATTCTTGTAGTGACAGAAAACTCAATTGGATCAACTAATTAAATTAAACATAAAATATGAACAAAATATTTATTTTTAGTTATTATATAAAATATACACGCCTTCAAATCATTCATTCACTTACCATATATGAATTCAAGCTATATCAATATTGCCTATCATTAACATTTTATTTAGTGATGGATGTGACATGGAGCATCTGTTCTGCGACTGCAGAATCACAAAATTTGCGGAATGCAGGATCGCAGGAACCGCAATTCAACTACCGTGCAGTCGACAGAGCACCCGAAATTTCCCATTTAAGCTTTTTATTTTTTCCTTTCAATTTATTTCCTATTTATTTATTTTTTGTTTTTCTTATTTGAAATAGGGTTTTTACTTGAGGTGCTATATGTATTTGTTATATTCTGGTTTAGGACTTTTGGCTTGGCTTGTGTATTTTGGAGATTTTTGTCATGGTTTTCTCTATTAGAGGGCTGTATTTTGGATTTTCTTTTCGATGGTGTTCTAGTAGTTGGATAGAATCAATGTGATGATGTCTCCCGGGTGTTCGGAGGTCTGTTTGGTTGTCCACCATGCCATAAATTGTTGTTCACAGCAGGAAACCCACTGTTTTCTGTTCTGGCTTACTATCTAGCCCTCGTACCTCGCTGATTCATTGTTTGGCTGCTGTTCGCCGTTGAACTCGCCACACATGCTGTTCCACTGTATATTTGGCTTTCTATCGCCTTCCCAGTGCTACTACCTGCTATTTACAACGGGAAACCAGCCCTTTTCTGCTTCCCGGTTTGATGCCTGTCGCCATTCACACTGGTTTTCACCCACCCTCCACCCTCTTTACTCACGTAATCAATCCCTCAATTTTCCAACCCTTTTTGTGCATTATCACACCGTCTAGAAACCTTAGAACAGTATTAGGGCGGCATTATATTATTGAATGTTCAGTGCTAAGCATAGCCTCTCATGGGTCCCACTTGATCACATACCTGATCCAAATTTATTCATATTAGAAATATTCTTCAAAACGAATCAATTTTTAATGTCAATTATTGTTTGTTTAAACCAGACTTGGGCACATTGCTCTCTTTTTCCAGCAGAGTATGCGTCTGAGACCAATAAGCTGCTGTTAAAGCAACAAAGAATGACGAGGTTAAAATAGGGGGTGCAGAGGACTATACATTTTAAGGGATGTGATTTTTGTTTATTTTTTAGTTGTTTTTAGCCTTCATCAGGTTGTAGATAAAATATATAAATCATGGTAATTAGGGTGGTAATTTGGAAGGGATTATTTGAATTTGTTGGTATCAAGATAAATAGTGATCTAGAGCTGACTGTTAAAATAGATTGTTTCACGTGCACGTGAACTAAAACAGTTCTTAAACCATATTTGTTGTCTCCGAAGTACTATAGAACCATGCCTAGCTACTGATGAAGGTTCATGGTCTTTCTATCTATGACTCTTGGATCATTTTTACTATTTATAATTATCATTTAATACGTCTAAGATGCTTGTTAACTAGACAATTGACTCAAGGCAAAATTACAAAAGGACGATTGAGTTTCTGACATTATATATATATATCATGCAGTAAAGAGTCAAAAATAGTCCTGCCTATTTTTATTGGGCCATTTAGTCCAAGAATTTATAAAAATGCTAAAATAGTCTCTAGACTCTTTTAATGGGGGTTAAAATAGTCTTCACTAGGGACTATTTAAACCCATATTAAAAATGCATTGAGACTAAATTGATATTTTTATAAACTTTGGGATTAAAATGGCCTAGACCCCCTACAAGAAGTCGGGAATTTTGACATTTTTATCATCTAGGTGCTGCTCTTTTTAATCCCTGCTGTTATTAACCTCCGCTTTTGCCATGTCTACAGATGATGTGGGCTGCTGATTTTGATGAAGCCATTTTGCATAGGTTAGAAGAAAAGTGCTTAGAACCTTTGCTAGTACGTGTTTCTTGCTCAGAGAACGGAGAAGAAAATGCTCATAATGGTAAAAGAAAATTTAAACGATTGCATTCTCGTTTTAGACATGAAACATGGGAATCTGATAGCAACGAACTGAGATCCTCGTTGAGCCATCCCTTTTGTGGCCTCACCAAAGCTAATTTCTGGGCAAGGCATGATCAACTTCAAGCTTGTGATGGTGAACCAATAGGAAATGAGGATGATGAACTGTCTGTCTTCTGTGTAGCTGCCATTCTTATTATTAATCGCCAAAAGATTTTGAGAGAAACTCATTCAATTGATGATGTTATCAAGGCATGCTCCTTTTGCTTTTAAATTATTTCATTCTGTTGTTTTACCTCATCAAGGGTTCATTACTCAGTTTCTTCGCCATTTTGTTTTTCAGATTGACTATAATTTTCTTATGGCCTTTCAAAAATTTTAATAATGAGAATCATTTATCTTACAATCAATATTGTTATGCCGGTATAAGGAAGTTGTATCTTTCAAAAAATGAAAAAAATGTACATTATTCACACCAATTTAAAAAAAATATGTATGTATTTACCATGATAGTTCTACAGTTACTATCAAAAACAGTTGCAGCCGGCCGACTAGCCTGATTTGGTATGGTTGGGCTAGGCAAGTTCCTGAGTCTTCGATTAGGCGACAGGCTACATACAGTTTAATTATTTTTCCAGACTTTTATCTGCATTGTTCGGTGGTTTATCCTTTTCAAAATAACCCTGTCAAACAATATCACTTATAATTGTCGTCCGATTCCTTTTCTGGAAATATTTCATAGCTAATGTAATTTTGGATTTTGATATTTCTATAGTTTTTTTATTTCCTTGCAGATGTTCAATGATAATGTGTTGAAAATAAATGTTAAAAGGTGCATTCGTATGGCAATCAAGCTACGAAAGAAGTATTTTAACAAGGTAAAGTTCCTTGATTCTTAACTCTATTATTTCTTATGATTTATTTTTGGGGCTTACATATGTAGCGCAGAATTCTTATTTATTTACATATCTCACACGAAAACTTTGATGTTTATACACAGCACTCAACTCTTCAACTTCATATCACAAGTAACAACAATATCGCTTTATAATTTCATGCATAGGCTTAAAGCACCAAAGTTCTATGTATGTAAATTTGAAAGTTTAATTGTGAGATATATATATATATATATATAAACCAATAAGAATTGTGTGCTATTACTTTCCCTTTATTTTTCTGTAAGCTGTTAGCATAATCATCTTTCCTTCGCTGTCAATGTTTGAGACAGTTATACAAACAAATGAGCGCATCAAATTTTGAGCTACAATGAGACCAGGGCTTCTTTAATTATTGGCTGTCAAGAGGAACGCTTTACTTTCCTAATTATTGGATTGGGAAGTGCCATCTAATTGCTCTAGGGTTGGCCATGCAATTTCTTATTATTTGTACTGGGAACTGATAATGAAGCATGTCGCCTCTCACTCCAGTGCTGTTTACTCACTCCACTCGTGGCAAGGTATGGTTGTCTTATTATCCATTTTGTTCACGAGGACAGCTTTAAAATGGTTCGCTACCATTTTTTTTATAGGGCCACTTCAGTCCCAAAGTTTATAAAAATATCAGTTGTCCCTGAATTTTTTAATATGGGTTTAAATGGTCTCTTGTGAAGACTATTTTAGCATTCGTTAAAGAGTGTAGGGATTAATTTTGCAATTTTATAAATTCCGGGTTAAATCATCATATGCAAATATTCAGGGGACTATTTTGAAACTTTCTCGTTTTTCCCTACGTATCGTTCTTATTTTACTGGATGGCATTTATCTTAATGAATTTCAGAAATTAAGATTATGTTTAAGAAGTATATGCTATCTGAAATTCTTCTTTATGCTCTATAATTTTTGGACCACATCGTAAACATTCTAAAATTTGATACTGACTTTTTAGTTGTTTGGTAATGTTGTAAATTGAGTTCAGCGTGCTCAAGATCTTGTAATTTTTTACTGTTTTTGGCTCGTTAGGTTTTAGAGCCGGACAAGATCTGCCCACAAAACTAGTCTGCTTTAGAGGCATAAATTATAGTATATGCACATTACACACACACACACACACACACACACACACACA